CGCCATCTCGACATTGCCTCGTAATGCTACCAACCTCAATCTTTCCGCAACGCTTCGCTTCTTGCTCGCTCGACTACCTAAGTAGACGGCCTCTCACCTGCGCATCTCGTCTCGCTGGGTCGTGACCCACCTCTTATCTGAAACCCACGTACCCGACGAGTCCGCCGACACCCACCCTTTGCTACTACGACAGCCCACACCCAGAGACTCTGTTGGTCGAGGACAGTCCCGTCAGCGGGCACCTCACACTCGAACATGAAGTACGGCGATCGGCTTGAACAACAATCAGTCCCGGAATGGAGCCTTCGTAAGTGACGCTCCTGCTTCCTGACGCCTTGGACCCCCAAACCAGCCCGCCAGCGAGCCGTGACCGCCGGATACTTGCTTTCCATGCATGCTCGACACTGACTCTTGTTTTCTCGTAGACAATATCGACTACAATGCATTGAAGCATGAAATCAAAGTCAACACGCGCCGTGACCAGGCCGCGGCTGTCGCCATCCCCGGCCATGTCGACTCCAACCTGCACAGGTTCGAAGAGCGCCTGTTCGGCGAACTCCGCAGCCAACACGATCGTGTCGATCTCTTCGTCAACAGCAAAGCCGACGAGATCTTGAGGCGCCTCGAATCCATCTCGGTCCAGATCAACCGCCTCATCGCACGCTGCGACCTCGAAGGCGCCGCCGGTATCAGCCTCAAGCGCCAACGCAAATTCTCCCGATACGAGCGCGATCTGCTCCGGTGCGAGGAAGACATACTCGCCCTGCCACGGTTCATCAATGCCCAGGTCACGGCATTCCGGAAGATCCTCAAAAAGTACAAGAAGTGGTCCGGCTCGCCGACGCTCAGCGTACGATTCCGCGAGGAGGTCCTCTCGCATCCCAAGAGCTTCACCCGCCGCGACTTGACCTACCTGCAGAGCCGTTACGAGCAGATCCAGCACCACCTCCGCACCGCTACACCTCAACTCAGCGAGCCCAGCTCGCCTTCGACCGACGCCACCTCGCCTTCACCAAGCCGGCCCGCCAAGACGACAGCGCAGCGCTTCGACCCCCTACCGCCGCCGCAGACGCACTACTGGAACGAGTATGACTACGGCAGCGACGCCGAGGGCAACGACCAGGCGGGCGAGTATGCCATCTATATCGACCCCAACGCCAACGCCAGCTTCCCTGGCCTCGATGCCATGCGCTCCATCATTCGGCGGCCACTCGCGCTTGCCACGTCATGGTTCTCTCGCGGACACGCTGACACGGATGCATCGCGCCAGTCCCTCCTGTCGCCGGGCGGCAACCGCATAGGCCCGGGCTACGGTGGCATCTCCCCTTTTGGCACCGAGACGGACGAGGACATCGAATACGCAAGCTCCGAGGAGAACTTTCCCGCGGCAGGATACGCGGGCTACTACGCGGCACTGCCAAGCATTGCCGACCAGCAGCTCGAGCGGTACCGCGAGGCCACCCTTGGCTGGGCCACGATTGGGGCCTTTGCTGCGTCTTTTGTGCTTCTCGCTGTGGCCAGCATCCTCATCGTCACAGGACGGCACAAGCTGCGGGCCGAGGTGGATGCAGGCGTCACGGTCGGATCGGTGACAAGTCTCTTCTGCGCCTGCCTCGGGATCGGCATGATGCTCTACCGCCGCGACAAACTGAGCGTGGCATACAGGGCAGCCGTGCTGACGAGCTTCCTGGCGGCGTGCGCCCTCAACGGGATGCTGCTCATTCTCGTCGTCGACAACTAGACATGGCGCGTCGACAGCTGGACATGAGCGCAAGTGTGAGACGGTAGATGAGGAGCAACGGGCGGATGAGCAGCCTACGGAACGACGAGCGACGGTGGTCTGTCAGGCGTCTGGGGGAACGAGTCTAGCGTTGTGATTTATTCGTGCATCTCCTTTGTTTTCATTTTCTTTTGTAAGATATCCTCCTGCAACAGGATTGCGCTTGTATCACCACTGCCACACGACAGGGCAGCACGGCAGCGTTGGGAAAGGAAAGGGAAGCGAACGGCCGCCTCCCAGATGGCTATGCCGCGAGCCGTTCTCACGGCTGGGGACTAATTCAACAATTGGCTCCAAACCCTCATGGCAAATAAATCGCCCATGATTCCATGTTCGCTTTTCACCCCCATCACAATTGATCGTCATGCCAGACCTGTCTCACAAACAGGCTGCGTCTGCGTGTCTCTGCTCGATCAGACACTGAAAAAAGCCAGCTGCGCAACATGTTCTCCTCCCCCCCCCCACACACCCACCCCCTGGCGATCAATTGACATGTGACGATTCTGGGGGTGCTTTGTCCTTGGCAGAACGAAAGCCGGTCTCAGTGCCTCTACATTCCTTCCCATGCCCAGCAACCTGCTTTGCCATCCCTGGAGGGGCCCAAAAGCTTGCACGATGGCTGGACTCCTTCCTTGGAAATGGAAACGTCGCGGGCGCTGTGCAATCTTGACTGGCGCCACGTCGCGGTTCCCAATTTGGAACGCGGCGGGAGGGCGATGAGGAGGGAGCCGGGGCCTGGGGTCGAAAGCAGGATTTTGCGACTGCTGGGAATCGACGATGATCGATGGGAGGGGCCCCCCCTGGTCACACCCTAGTGTTCGAGACCGTGGTGGCCCTTGCTGCAGGCCTCTGGGG